ACTATCAAGTCTTTTAAAGCGATATTGAGAAATAATCTGAGCTTTGAAGTGAAAAAGTAATACCGTTTTTGAATAGCTATGAATTCATGCAGAGAAAACCTTTTGATATGAAAGAGTGTTCATTAGAAAGCTTTAATGGAGTACCCTCATTTTACTCTAACAACGAAGTTCGAGTTTATTATAAAAATAACGAGGTATTTTAATGTGACTACGAATTTAGAATTTTATTTTCACATATTAATATTAATATAGAAAAGCAAGCCTCAGGGATATGTCACACGACCAATAATGAGCTTCATTCCGTTTACCAAAAACAAACCCTCCGCTTTCCTTACTAAAGCAAATAATCATTTTTTATAATTAATTTCTCTCTATAACGAACATCTTAGTAAACACATTCTATAACTAAAAAATGCAGAAAATTACATATAGGGATGAAGGGTTCGTTATAGAGAGTGTGGATTGTATGATTGTGTAATTTTAGTATAAGAACCACACAAGTGAATAGAAGTCTATTATTTTAATACCTGAAATTACAACAATTCAGAAACTCCATGCGGCTTTACTGTTATAAACTTGGAAATTCTACTTCTTAATCATCTCCATGACCAAATTTGATAGACTTGATGGGAAGGAACTAACAATGTAACAAGCATATAAAGAATGCAAAGTTTCACGTTATTAAATTAGTTACACAGTATAAAAATGATGGTCACTTTATATCGCATTTAGTGGTAGCATCGAAAGTCCACTCACCATGCCGGTCTCTTGTATAATTAGACAATGGTAGGTGCAATACACACACATACGTGATAATGTATACCGATATGACATCGATTACCTCAAGTAAATGAAGGTATTGTTTCTCGTACGTTTAGAGGTCGAAGGATAAATGCAATAGACGCTCTGGACAACATAGAAGAATACCACATTGATTGGATGTTTGCAACAAATAGATTGTGTTTAGAGCTGAGGTCTTCAGACTATTTACTAGTAAAAGCATAAAAATATAAATTGAATTAAAAAAATTATATTGTATATAATAATAATCTAGGACATCACCAACCATATGCTTAGAATTACAATATTAGTATGCGAACATGTTGGATCCAATATAGAAAATAGCAAATACAAACTTTGTATATATGTGATTCGAGTAATAATACAATTATTGTACTTATTATTGTTTCGATTTCTTTGATTATAAAGGCTAAAACCCGAAACAAAAATGTCTATGTGGCCTTTTGATACTTCAACACCACCATTAACAATTCTGTAAAAGTTTTTTGATCGCTAGCTTTCAATGCACTGGATGACCACCTTTTGTGCCCTTTAAGGCTTTCTGAGTTTGATGGTACCATAAACTGTAGCATTTGAAATATTAAGTGTCTTTTCGACAGTAATAGTACCAGTTATTTAATTAAGGTCGAAATTTTTTTTCTTTTTTTACTTTCTATTATTTATAAATTTTATCGCTATGAAAATACGAAAATTACAAACAACCTCGCGATTTATTACGATTATTTTATCCTATTACTATTACTATTACTATAGTAAAAGTAATAGTAATTAATCTCAACGGATTTTTAAACGTAAAAAGTTATAAACAATCAATTTAATTTTTTTCAAATTACTAAATAAGTATTTGTACTTTTTTCTTTCAAAATTATAATAAATTAAAAAATGACTGCTCTTCATGAAATTCTTAAAAAAAGTAAACATGCGAAACAAAACAAATAAATATATTATTTATTAAAATATATTATTTGACTAAGCCATTCATTATTTATTATCTATAGTCATACTTGATTCTCTAAGAACAGTTCAACCACCAAATGGTTGGAAGGTGATGGTGGTAGATGCTCCCTCTTTAAAGATTATAGAATCAGCTTGTAAAATGTATGACATTCTTGAAGAAAAAGTTACTTGTAAGCAAAAATTATTTATTTATATAATTTAATGTATGAATGGACAAATAAATGAGGCGTTAATTCATTTATTCAAACACATTTGTATCCAATAGTGGTGGAAAGTATTGAAAAAACTCGTCAACCTTATCCACAACTTGAAGCAATTTATTTGTTATCACCAACCAATGAATCTATCGTTGGAGTGATCAATGATTTTAATAAAAGCCCACCATTATATTCAGCAGCGAATCTATTTTTCACATCAGGTAGTTGTTATAATAATAAATAATATTATTAATATTGATGTTTATAATAATAAATTATATTATATAGCACTTGATGGCAATTTGTCCCAGAAATTAAGATCATCACCAGCATCAAGTTATATTAAAAGCTATGCTGAATTATTTATTGATTTTATGGGTGAGTTGATGTATACATATTTTGTTTGAATAATTTGTTTTATCGTCATTGTAATAATTTAATAAATGATAATATTATTTAGCAAGAGAGGCACAAGTCTATTCTTTTGATGATCCATTAAGCTTTTACAGACTATATTCGCCTGTAGAAAATTCAAGTTATGAAAACGAATTGAGAAAAATAGCAAAAAATGTAGAATTTAAAAAAATTTTTTTTTTTTGAGAGTGAAAAAAATGATTTGTATTATTAATTTTTTCCCTATCACTATAATAAATAATAGCTTTTATCAATTTGTGTTTCATTGGGTGAAAATCCATTGATCAGATATCAGAAACAATCTGATATTGATTATCCAACAAAATCTTTATCTTATAAATTAGCTGTGTTATTGCAAGCTGAATTAGATCAATATGCTAAATCTAATCCGAATTTCCCTGTAAGTTATTTAATTATTATATATTTTGATATTTACATATAATATTAACCTATCTATTATACTCATAATTATACTTGATAGCCAAAAGATAACACACGTCCACAAGCAGTTTTTTTTGTTTTTGATAGAACAATTGATTTGTATACACCTATTCTTCATGAGTTTACCTATCAGGCAATGGCAAATGATCTTTTGGAAATTGAAAATGGTCAAAAATATTCTTATAATTATGTGGGCGAAGATGGTAATACTGCAAATAAAGATGTTGTTCTGGATGAAAATGATAATTTATGGGTAGAAATTCGTCACAAGCATATGAAGGATTGTATTGAAAAACTAATGAAAGATTTTAATGAGTTTTTGGGTGAAAATGCTGGTTTCACTGATGCCAAGTATGTCTAGTTTAAAAATAAAAAAATTTCTTTGATTAATTTATTAAATTTTGTTTATCATTTGATCAATAATTAATGAAAAGGGGTGATAAAGCACCTAACTTAAATGATATTAAGAAATTGTTGGCAACTTTACCACAATTTCAAAATATGAAAGAAAAGGTAATCAACATAATAATAATAGCAATAATAATAATTATTATTATTATTATTATTAACATTACTAATTAATTAATCATTAATTAATTTTAGTTTTCTGTGCATTTAAACATTGCACAAGAATGTATGAGTTTATTTGAAAAAGAAAAACTTGAAGATGTTTCATCAATTGAACAAGTATGTAAAATCTTTTGAAATTGAAACATAGTATAGTAACCACTATATATCTTATCTTAGGATTGTGCTACAGGGTTTTCACATGAAGGATTACATCCAAAAACATTAATTGAAGATATGGCACCACTATTAGATAGTCCAGTTATCAGGTTAGAAATATTAAATAATAATTGTTAATAATAGTTAATAGTTAATAGTGATATTATTTTATTTCTAGGAAATATATTTTAATAATAATTTAATTAAATAATTTATTTATTTTCATTATTAAATATAATAAATAGTTCTACTAATAAAGTTAGGATTCTTATGCTTTATATGATGTATAAGAATGGTGTATTAGAAGAAGATAGAATAAAATTATTAGCATATGCAAGGATATCTTTGGAAGAAAATGAAGCCATCAATAACCTTGTATTCTTTGGTGTGAAATTACTCAGGGTATTTTAACACATACACATATATATATATTACATATATATGGAAAACATTCATATTCACAATTATTAATAATAGCCACCAGTTGGAAAAATTCCTAAAAAAATTAAAAAATATCGTCAAAAACCAGGAGATGATGTTCGATATCAAATTTCTCGCTATGTTCCAAAACTTAAACTTGTTTTAGAGGTAGATTCGTAAATTGTCATATACTTGTAGTAAATATATATATTAATATATCTTCTTTTGATTAGAGTCACATTAACAATACATTAGATACTAATTCATATCCTTACACGAGAGATCCCGGAGTTGCTGACAGATCTAAAGGACAACAACAAGCTCCAGTTTCTTTAAGAAGGTTATTCTCTTTTAAAATTTTCTCTGGATTAAAAATAATTAACAAAAAAAAAATAATAATACATTTATATATAATATATAAATAATAATAGCGTGCGAGCTAGATGGTTTGAATCAGGACCATCGGCGGTAACCATTCATATATTAATAATAATGATATTAATAATAGATTATCATAACCATTTATTTATAATCTAATAATCTATTGTTTTTAGAGTGAAAATCGCAAACCTAGAATAATAGCATTTGTAGCAGGTGGTTTAACTTATTCTGAAATTCGTAGTGCATATGAATTGACAGAAAGCCATAATAAAGATGTAATTATTGGATCAACTCATGCGATCACACCAAGAAATTTTATTGAAGATTTAAAACTTCTCCGTAATCCACCAACAAGGATTTATCAACCACAGCATCATCAACAACAACAACCAAACTTACTACCTACATCAGCACCAGCATATGGTGGTGGTTTCATTTCACAGCCACAACTACAACAACCACAAATACCTCCAAAACCTTTCTCTAGCCCCGGACACATTCATAATCCGCCACCACCTGATAATAGTAATCCAGCTTCTAAAGGAAAGCTTTTTTACAAGTTTTAGATGATTGATTTACTGTTTTATTTTTTACCACTAATTACTATAAATTTATAATTTTTGGATGAAATGTATTTTTTATTATTGTTATTTTATTTTATTTCTGTATTATTGTTTATAATACATACACATACATTACCTCTTTATTATTATTATCAATCGTGTTTGTTACTCAGAAATTCATTGATTTGTTTTTACTTTAATTAAAATGTTAATATTTCTAATAAAAAAAAAGAATTTTTAATTTGTGAAATTTGATTCCCAATTATTAATTTATTCATCATTAAAATATATTAGTAACTTCGGGCTTGTATGATGTAGAAATTAGAGTTAGGAATGATGATCGAGACATTAAATTTCAAAGCTCATTCCAACATTTTAAAGCAGCTTTACCTGATAATTTGTTAAGAAGAACTAACTTGAAAAAAAAACATTATTTCTTCAAAAGTTTTGAATGTAATTTAATCAATTGATTTGTTAATTTTTAATGATGATATATAATCATTAATGTAGATGACCTGATGAAAATATCGATCTTAGAACTTCCTTGTAGTATGTGATGAATTTTGCCTCAGTGAATTAAAACAAGAATGGATTTGACAGAATCTAATTTACATTTATCAAGACATTGGTCATTCAAAATTATTTTGGCAAATTAAACTATATGTAAAAACACTTGATTATGTATTGAAGAGAGATGATTTAGAATTAGACAAGGTTGATATTTGGAATCATGTTATTCAACGGGGAAAAAAATCATTTCAGAGTGGAATGATGATTTCACTGACTTGAAAAAATATATTATTCCATCAATAAGATTCAATCAAATTAAATTGCTTCAACTGACTTTTTTATGTGGTATGAATTTAATGAAACTATCATGTAATTTAATCCTAAACTGTGGGCGAAACTTTTAAGCTATGAACAAAAGTTTATATTGTGATAAATAAAACGGATTTATCAAAGTGCTATCCAATCGTATCTCGGGCATGTGACTTATATAGTCTTATTTATTAATAGCATCACCTACTTTAAAGACACATGAGAAAATTCCTTTACTATCTTTATTGGTTTAACATATTATTAGAACCAATATTAAATTAAACTAATGCAATTCAAAAACCTTTTGTAAAGCATACGTTGAAAAATTAGGAGAGGTTTCTAAATAAAATATTTAATTTATGTTAAATTTATAATGAATTTTCTTTAGGTTGAAAAAATTATTCTTCATAGTATGTTTATTTCATTTATATATATATATATATTTATTATAAAAAAATAATAAAAATTAGAATTATACATATTTGGTTTTTTTCCTGTATATTAAAAAAGGTGGCGGTGGTGATTATTTGATCTATTACTTGCTACTCTAGTTTAATTACAATAAATAAAATATAATATGTTTTAGATGATTGATGATTTTAAAATAATAATTCTAATTATATTATTATTCAAAACCTTACAACTGTCATATTATTATCTTATATTTTTTTAAATATAATAATAGTAAAGTTAATAACACTAAAGAAAGATATGATAATTGTGATGATAAATTATAATTTACCAAATTATAATGCTTCAGACTTCAATAGGTAATAAATCAACTTAGTTGTATCTCACCATTCTCTTGGATTTAACCCATAATGTGAATGTGGTTTTATTTCACCAAAATTTTACAATTAAAGGGAGGATTTTGCCATTTTAAATTTCTATAATTAAAAACTGATTCAGGATCCTGGCTAAAGACTAGTGCCGTAAATTATGATGATGGTAGTAATTGTATTTACGGCATATAAAAAGTGGTTGCAATTACCTTTGCGACCACTTTTGCAACCATACGGCACTAGTATTTAGGACAGATATTGGCCTTGTACAAATTCAAATTAGACTGATTGGTAATATTAATCCTATAAATTTTAATCGTGTCAATTAGAAACTATTGTTTATTCTTTTTTTAATATGATGATGACAATTTTCTAGATATATAAGCATATAGTGCAAGTTGCCCCAATGAAGATGGTAAATGCAAAATGTCAGCTACAGACAATGATAATAGTGATAGCACCATTGTTGACAATTAAAGACTACCGCACCAATGAAATTTTCTTTTTGTATGTATTACAATAAATATTGTGTGTTTGGTGGTAAGGCTATGTAGTCGCCTGATATTGCTATTGCCAATTGCTAGTTAAGTGTTAAAAAACACAAACTGAAGAACTTTTATTGGCAATAATTTTTTTTGCAAAATAACAATAGGGCTTCCAGATTAGGAAAGACTTGGTCTGTATATGGGTTTTCCTTTGGTTAATAACCCTTGCTCAGAACGAAATAGTTAATAAATGGTTAATAACTTGGAATTATTAAGGTATGGTTAAAAAAAAAAATTAAAAATCAGGTTTATAAAGTGCTTTCGTTCCCCGTATTTTTTAAAAATAGATATTTGTTACGCCAAATTTTAAAAAATCGTATAAATAAAAGTGCAATCGTCCTTTTCTTTGACACAAAGTTTCTCAAAACATTTAATAATATTATTATAAAGTAAAATATAAAAAAAATGTTGTCAAAATCTTTTAAATTCTTAACATTTGCTCTTTTAATTATTACGATTTTATTGAATGCTTTTATCAATGCATCACCAATTCTCTCAGAAAAACGTGCAGTAGTCAATGTTGCTATTGCAAGATTTGATAACGGCGGTAATGTAAAAAGAGTTTCTGGTGAAATCCAGTTTGCACAGATTTCAAAAACAATTACACGTATAACTGGACAATTCAACACTGGTTTTATAAGTAAAAATAAAAATGATTACGAATTCTTCATTGTTAATGATGATGGTAAAGTAATAGTCAATCTTACTGATGAAATTAGAGATCAATTGTTTATTAATAGCCCTGGAACCGGACCATTCGAATTTGACAAAAAACTCAAAGTTAGAGATATAGTGAGTTTCGTGGCTCTTGCAGACTTCTGTGGTGAAGAAATCGGAAAAATGGAAATCGAATCTGCATCTGTATAATTAATACAATTAATTGTTATTGTTTTATTGTGTATAATGTTATTTTATGATGATTTTTAATGTATTAATATTATTAGTTCTTCTAATATTAATGTATTTTCTTTAAAACAATTTGTATTAATATTTTCGAATAAATAGATACATACATGTTTTAATACTTGGCAGCGGGTTGTTACAATTTTTAAAGCAATTTACTACAAATAGTGATATAAAAACGTTAGCTGGCTGAGCCGTTTAAAAATTCCTTGGCTGGCTGAGCATAATGGAAATTTGAAATGTTACACTAATTTTTTATATTGTGCAACGTAGCTTTACAATACACGGCAAACATTCTGGCAATAAAAAGTAAGTGATAAACTGGATTTGAATTGGATCTGAACTTGAGCACCAATTTAGAGAAGCAACAACCATATACTGGCGAAGTTTCAGAAGCAATGAGTTCTGTATAACGTTTCGTGTAACAACAAACTTCTACTAATAAAAATTGGGTTTTTAAAAAAAATGGCCCAAAAAGGAAACTCACTAGCCATTTTTTGTAAGATACTCAGAGTATTTTTCAAACTTTTTATGTTTTCTTACATACCAGTTCAAATATGATTGTCCAAGGTCCTGATCAACTCATGTTTTTTGCTGTTTTCAATAGTATGTAACCCCCTTAATGATATTCATGATACAAAACCCCTACAGTGCGGACAGTGTTGTGACCAGAAACTCTCTTGGCTTCCCGAAACGTTTCGGAAAATGAACTTACACTAAGCAGAAAACTAAACCTAAAACTAAACCTAAACATAAACTACTAGCCTAAACTATTTTCGGGTGGTTTCTGTTAGTTTCTGTTTCGGGTTTTCCCTAAGCTCAGAATTTCGGGTCACAACACTGAGTGCGGATCATCTATACTCAAAGTCAAAAATTTTGAAATATTATGTGATCCACACATTGAATTTTTAAAAAACAACCACCATTCGATTCATCTTTAAAAAGGGAGTCTATAAATCTAAAAAAAAAATTTGTCTCAAATTTTCTTTTCATGGATTTATAGAATTTGAAATAATTTTCGCGTTACAATATTTTGAATTTCACGACCAAATTTGGTAACGATTTTCTTTTAATGTAATATGTTCGTTAAACTTTTTTGTTGTAAAGAACTTTTATTTATTAATAAAAAAAAAAGGAAATAAATAAATCAAATAAATCAAATGT